GCTCCAAGCCCCTTCCAACCCATTCCCCCTTGGCCTGTCCCTACAGGCCCTTGTCCCAAGCCCCTCTCCAGCTTTCCTGCAGCCCCTTCAGGCACTGGAGCTGCTCTCAGGTCTCCCCTTCAGGAGCCTTCTCTTCTCCAGGCTCACCCAGCCCAGCTCTCTCAGCCTGGCTCCAGAGCAGAGCTGCTCCAGCCCTCGCAGCATCTCCATGGCCTCCTCTGGACTCGCTCCAACAGCTCCACGTCCCTCTTGTGCTGCTGCCCCAGAGCTGGACCAGGACTGCAGGAGATGCAATAGGTTACGGCAGAGCCAGCAGCCAAACCTCTCCAGACCTGCAAATACATTAATGGCAAGTTTCCACCTTACTTTGCTCGCTTCAGCTGCTCTCTGAGTTGCACCCATCAAGTGCCATGGCACAGAAGAGGATCGGGCCTATTTCTATGAGATCTGGGCAGAAGCTCAGACCTGATAACTGCAGAAAAACCCAATTAAATACCCCTTGGGAAACAGAAGTGTGGCTCTCCCCATCTGCAGTCGTAACAGGGAAAAAAGTGCCAGCACGGAAGCCTGGCCAAATATTTTTGTGTGCAATAATAATCTGCCGTCCTAAATTTCCCTTCTCTTTTCAAGGGGATCACATATTCTTCTCTTCCTGTCCCAAACTGCTTTCCAGTGACAGACTGTACTTGTGTTGTGTATCTCCTACTCACTAGAGCTAATTACTTCTGGCTGGCAGGGCTCCTCGTGCTTTCCTGTCCTCTGCGGCTCTGAATCACAGCCGCCCTTTAGTACAGCGCTGATGGAGATCCCCCTTTAGTCACAGGCAGTAGCAGGAGGCTGTCCCCACGCTCTGCAGGACCTTGCACCCTGCTCTGCAGCTTTCTGGCCTCTCCAGAGAGTGGAGATTTATCTGAGCATCACCACCCGAATGCTGGCACTTTTGCATGGATTTGCTGTACATCAGGAGCTCCACCTTGGGAGCAGCGAGATTCTCTCCTGTGACCGCACAGATTTCCAATGGGTTTCAATAAGACTGTAGAATTCCAGAGTGGTTTGGGTTGGAAGGGACCTTAAAGCTCATCCAGCTCCAACCCCTGCCATGGCCAGGGACCCCTTCCACTAGAGCAGCTTGCTCCAAACCTCTGTGTCCAACCTGGCCTTGAACACTGCCAGGGATGGGGCAGCCACAGCTTCTCTGGGCACCTCGTGCCAGGGCCTCAGCACCCTCACAGGGAAGAGCTTCCTCCTTACATCCAACCTGAACTTCCCCTGTTTTAGATTGAATCCGTTGCCTCTTACCCAAATAAAAGGCAATCAGCCTAAATTTACCATCTAAAAAGTTACCATATTAAAATCAGATGGTTTAGACCACTGAGGATCCTTCTCCTTTCTTCTGCAGTGCCACGCATTTCATCCTTCCTTTTTCCTCTAAGCCATTATAAACATGCTTGACCACACCATACAACTCTATCATCAGCCATCTCTAAGTGACTTACCATGGCCTTAACTCATGGACAGCAGTGCTGGGCTGCTGCCCTTCCTGAACCCATCGATCTTAGCCACCCTGCTCTCTTATTTCCCCAGTGCTTCTTCTTTGGTCTCTTTGGTGCACACAAATCGATCAGCTTCTTCTCTTGCTCTCTGCTTTTTGCTGTTGGGCACTCAGTCATTGAATAGAGAAAGGCTTTGGCTGGATGTCAGTGATCAGTGCAGTAATACCAAATAAAGCCCAAGGCTCTGACATCTCACCCACTCTTTCTTCAGCCTCCTCCTCCCAGCTCTGTTCCTCCCCTCCAGTCAACAGCTACATACACATCTCTAATACCTCTAATACGTGCATCTCTGATACCTATTGGTATCTTGGTCTCATAAAGCATCTCAAAGCCATCACTAGCACGTTAATAACTATGCTATGGATGCAGAAAGCAAGACACAAGGAATTAAATTCCTCTCTCCTTTCATTTAAACCAGCAGCAGAGAAAGGCACGGAAAGGGCAGGACTTGCTCTCACCATTACAAACCCCTAAGCCCAGCACCAACCACAGGCAGAAATAACCCACCCCAGTTGCTTCTTAATTTACTGAATACATTTGGCATTGGATGCCCCAAGGCTTTGTCCTGCCCACAGCAGGTCTGTTTATCCCAGGTATGGTCACTCCTCCTCACGTTCCCCACACAGGAAGGTATCTTCCCTTTCTTCCCCTTCTGCTTTCCAGAGCTCTCAGCCAGAGCTGTGCTCCCCTATTCCCTAGGGCTTTATACCAGGAGTGCCTGCATCCTGCACTGACCTTCAGACCAATGTCCTTTCTATTATCATCCCTGGAGGCTGTAAATACATCTCCTCCGGAAAGCTGGCTGTTTTCTTGCAGGTATTTATAGCATTAACATCGCTCTTCTTCCTTCAGATTTCTGTCTGCTCTTCTCTGTGTCAAGAAACTAAACCCCTGGATACAGACCAAGGGAAAACCATGTCCTGTTTGCCAAAGCATGTTGGAGGGAGGGTTAACACCGGGATCCATCAGATGCAGCCTCACTGCTTGGAGATACAGACATCCCCAAGGTTTTGGTGGTGCTTTTATCTTTCAGTAACTCCTGCAAAGCCCAACTCAGGGCAGATGTAACCTGCAAGCAGTTCCCTATGGGATGGGAACACTCCTGGGTGTCTCTTCTCAAGTCAGCTTCCCTAGGGAAAACCTGATCCGTCTTGGCCAGTTTCTCATGATAGATTTGCAAAGCCCTGCAGGCACCAGGGGACTGCACACACAACCCCACCTAACAATGCTGATCTTGTAACTCTCCCTCCAAGCATCCCCCTGTACCCTGTCACTGAAGGATCGCTCCTCCAGGGTTCCCTCCACATCCTGACCACAGACCATCCCTCTCTCTGAGCATCCCTCCTGGAATCCTGAATCCTGAGCCTCTCTCCTGAACCCTTCCCTCCAAGCAACCCTCCCCTGAGCATCCTTCCTGCATCTCAGCCCTCTGAGAAGCCCTTACTCCAAACATCTCTCCTGCATAGCTCCCTAAAAGCCTGTTTCTACATCCCAACCCCTGAGCATCTCTCTGAGTATCCCTCTCAAGCATCCCTTCCTCTGAGCATACAAGTTCCTGAGAACCCTGACTGCATCCTGACCCCCAGACACTCCTCACTGCAACTCCTTCCTGCATCCCAGTCCCTGAGCATCACTCCTGCATCCCAGCCACCGAGTATTCCTCCCTCTGAGCATTCCTCATGCACCCCTTCCCCTAAGCATCCCAAACCCCAAGCATCCCTCCTGCATCTCTTCCGTTGAGCATCGCTTCCTTTCAGTATCCCTTCTGCACCCGAGAGCTCCCTTTTGCATCCCGATGCCGAAGCATCCCTCCTGAACCCCTTTCCCTGAGCTCCCTTTATGCATCCTTCACTCCAAGTATCACTCCATCATCCAGATCCCTCAGCATCCTGACCCCTGTGTATCCCAAACCCAGAGTCTCCCTCCTGCATCTCTTCTTCAAGCATCCCTCCCTTTGAGCATCCCTCCTGCACCCCTTTCCTTAAGGCTTCTCTTCTGCATCTCTTCCCCTGAGTACCGCTCCTGTATCCCTCACCCTGATCGTCCTTCCTGCACCCCTTTTCCCAAATGTCCCTCCTGAGCACCCCTCTGGCATCCTGACCTCCAAACATTCCTCCAGCATTCTGACCCCCAAGCATCTCTCATGTGTCCCTTCCCCTGCACACCTTCCTGCATCCCTCCAGCATCTCTTCGCTCTAGCACCCCTCCTTTTGAGCACTCCTCCTGCACCCCTTTATCCAAGTACCCCTCCTTCATCCCTCATCCTGAGCATTGCTCCAACGTCCTGACCCTTGAGCATCCCCCTGAATCTCTATCCTCGAGTATCACTCTCATTGAGCACCCCTTCTGCACCCCTTTACCCAACTCTCTCTCCTACATGCCTCACCCTGAGCATCCCTTCAGCATCCCGAACCCCAAGTATCCCTCCTGTATCTCTTCCCTCGAGCATCCCTCCCTTTGAGAACCCCTTCCGAATCCCTTTCCCCCAGACTTCTGCATCCTGACCCTTGAGCATCACTCCCGCACCCCTTTACCCAAGTACCCCTCCTTCATCCCTCACCCTGACCATCCCTCCAACATCCTGACCCCCAAGCATCCCTCCTGCACCTCATACCTCGAGCATACCTCCCTTTGAGCACCCCTTCTGAATCCCTCACCCAAGCACCCCTCCTGCACCCCTTTACCCAACTATCCTGCATCCCTCACCCTGAGCATCCCTCCAGCATCCCGACCCCCGAGCATCCCTCCTGCATCTCCTCTCTCCCTTTCAGCATCCCTCCTGCACCCCTTTACCCAAGTACCCCTGCATCCCTCACCCTGAGCATCCCTTCAGCATCCCGACCCCCGAAAATCCCTCCTGCATCGCATCCCTCGAGCACACCTCCCTTTGAGCACCCCTCCTGAATCCCTCACCTGAGCACCTCTCCTGCACCCCTTTACCCAACTATCCTGCATCCCTCACCCTGAGCATCCCTCCAGCATCCCGACCCCTGAGCATCCCTCCTGCATCTCCTCTCTCCTTTTCAGCATCCCTCCTGCACCCCTGTACCCAAGTACCCCTCCATCCCTCACCCTGAGCATCCCTTCAGCATCCCGACCCCGCAGCATCCCTCCTGCATCTCATGCCTCCCTTTGAGCATCCCTCCCGCACCCCTTTCCCCGTTACTTCTGCATCCCTCACCCTGAGCATCCCTCCCGCACCCCTTTACCAAGTACCCTCCTCACCCCTCACCCCGCGCACCCCTCCCAAGCCCCCTTTGCCCCCCGCCTATCCCCGCAACCGCTTCCCTCCCGTTCCGCGTTACCTGCGGCCGGGGCCGGTCCCGTCTCCCTGCGCCGTGTCCGGCTGGGAGCCGCAGTCCCGCGGGAAGAGCCGGGGCAGGGCCGAGCCCGCTGCGAACTACAAATCCCAGCGCGGCCGGGCCGGGCCGCCCCCCGCTTCCTCCTCCTCCTTCTCCTTCTCCTCCTCCTCCTCCTCCTCCTCCTCCCGCAGCGCCCGGCGAGCGGCGGGGCCGGCGGCTGCAGGGGCGAAGGTGGGTACCGGGAGGGAGGGAGGGATGGATGGAGGAAGGGAAGGGGAGGGGAGCGCTGGGAGCGACCCCCTCCCTCCCCGAGATGGGGAAACTTGTGCACAGGGGAGGGAGGATGAAGGATTGGGGGGGGGGACACGGACCGGCAGCGCTGCTGCTCCATGGAGGAACTCAGTGGGATGCGGGAAGAACGGGTGATCCCGCACACAGGGGGGATTTGGGGGGGGGGGGTAATTTAGTATTGTAAGCTGATTTAATGGTGTGAATGCCTGGCTGTGTAAGAAAAAGCCGATTTGTGGCTCAGGGTAGGGCTCAGCACCACTCTGCAAACTTTGCACATACCCCCCATTGCTTTCCACAAAATAACTCCAAAATTAAAGGATTTACAGTGATTTAGCTAATCCAAGGCCTATATCCATACACAGGGATGCCTCTGCATCTATGATTCTATGTGCATAAGATAAACCCTATGGAGGGGTTAATTCTGGATGGCACCTACCTTGTTAGTGGTAGTTCCGAGTGGGTTTTGCCAGCATACAGCTGCATCCGTGCTGGCAGTCGGCTGCCCTCTCATTGCAGGGGTGACCTGGAAGTGGAGGTGTCAGTGGGAAAAGGGGTGGAAGCTGGATGGAGGAGCACAGCCCTGTGTGCATCGAGCAGGACGCAGGTGCTGGTCTGCCACGTGTGCAGATGAAGGGGTCCACCAAGGAAATATTGCATCTGGAAGATGCTCTGAGGGTGCTGGACAGCCAGACTTCCAGTGCCTGAAGGGGCTGCAGGAAAGCTGGAGAGGGGCTTTGGCCAAGGGCCTGTAGGGACAGGCCAAGGGGAATGGCTTTAACCTGCCCGAGGGGAGACTGAGATGAGCTCTTAGGCAGAAGCTCTTCCCTGTGAGGGTGCTGAGGCGCTGGCACAGGGTGCCCAGAGAAGCTGTGGCTGCCCCATCCCTGGCAGTGTTCAAGGGCAGGTTGGACACAGGGGCTTGGAGCAAGCTGCTCTAGTGGAAGGGGTCCCTGCCCGTGGCAGGGGTTGGAGCTGGAGGAGCTTTAAGGTCCCTTCCAACCCAAACCACCCTGGGATTCTATGCTAGGAAATGAGGAATCAGTGAAAGCCATTGCCAGGGCTGGTATTAAATTGGTTTCTTGGACTCTACAAAGGGTTACATCAGCTGCTTGGAAGGAAAAGTGCTGCTCCTGCTGCCGTGAGCTCCCAGCCAGGCTCCCTCCTGCAGTGTGCACTGCCTGCACAGCAGCCCCTGACCCAGGGGTGCTGGAGATCACATCAGGAGTGCACTGAGCACCGCAGCACCTTGGCTTTTATCCTCCAAACCTCACTGCAGCCGCATCTCTCTGGCTGTGCCTTGCCTCTCCCCCTCCATCTTGTGTTCTGCTGTTCTCCGCCGGTAGCAGTTAACCTTCAGTTCATTCTCCTCCTCCTCCGTGCACCACTGCTTTCGTTCCTCTTCTCTCCCAGGGAACGTGACCTTTGGTTTATATCACTGCTTCCTTTTACTAACTAGGCACCAGCTTTTTCCTACCCTGTCTCCTTACCCCCTTCCCTTAATGCTTCCATCCTGCAAAGAGCCGGTTTCGCATCCTTTTGCATTCCCCTGCATCCTTATGCAAGCAGCCCAGGAGATGCTCAGGGGCATCAAGGTGCAGGTCTGGTGAGGGATGGACACATGGCATTGCACCCACAATAAAGCAGGGATGTCAGGAAACTCCTGCTCACGCTTTCCTATTGTTTGTGTGTTCCTGGCAGAGGAGAGTTTATGTGTGGAATGAAGCACTGTTAGAAGGCTATATCTATACCTATATAGAGAGAGATAGATATAAAGAACTGGCAGCTAAGAAGCTGCTTTCCAAGCTGGATACTCAGCGTGTGTGTTACTGGGTATCACAGCCGCTGGCAGATCGATCCCAGTCCTGCCTTACAGCCAGAAGGGAAGAATGAGCCATTGTTTCCTGCCTTGTGCCTGCTGGGAATTGGAGTCCCTTCCTGGAGCTTGTCACCGGTATCCCTTGTGCCAAGCCCAAACATGGCTGGAGTTTTCCAGAGGCACCGCAGCGATCCTGAAACAAAAACCAGCAGCTTCCCCCCTTCCCAATGGTGTGTTTGGGGATGTATTGCTCCTGGCAGGACATGCCACACTCTGCTTCACCCACTGAATTATAAGCCTCTAAGTGCTGCAGTAAGAGTTGACATTCAATGAGGGTCCAAAATTAGATGGGTCCATCCTGTAGTGATGGGAAAACATAGGTTTTCCTCTCTAATATTGCTATAAATAAGCATGTAGAGTGTAAAAACCATGTTATAAATGTTTAATTTACAGCTGAGGATGAGCTGAGCTAAGTAAATGTGCATCAGAGATGCAAAGGGAGGGTAAGCCTGTCCTTGCAATGGATTATGTCCCAAATCCTACCTTAAACTCAGCTCTCACTGGATGCCACTGGCTGCTGCTGGCTGGTAAGCAGCTAACTGGGTTTTTAATCTTTTTTATCCCCTAAATACTGTTTCCTTTGTTTCTGCCCTCCTTTTATTGTTCTTTTAGTGGTATTTTCCTTCTTTTAGTAGTATTTTCCTCCTGTCTCTTATGGCGTGATGTCTAGGCTTCACACTACAGGCCCCATAGCACAGTGGGGCACTAAGGCATAGCTGAGGGTCTGGATTTCCTTTGTGAAATCATTCCCTGGATAAGGAATAAGGCACAAAACTGGTGTCTAGGGAGAGTCCCAGCAAGTGCTGAGGTTCCCAACTCCATGAGGTTTATTTGTCTCAGGGCTTGGGTGTTTCATAGAAATGGGAGTTTTTACCCCAAAATGTGGTTTTCAGTAAGATGTGATGGAGCAAAGCGATGTGTGCGAGCATGGGAGCAGAATGAGCACCTTTGATTGTGCTTGCCATTGGTGCACTCTAATGAAGCAGACTGGGGCTCCATCCTGCAAGCCACCATCTCCTCTTGCTGAATCCCATTTGAAGTCCCCAGCTGCCACCCAGGTGCCCAGACATGTCTCCTCTTCATCCCTCCTTTTAGCTGCAATCAATCCTGCCCTTCCCAATGCAGAACTGCTTCCTATAATGCATTACCTGCTCTGTCTCTCGTAACTGATGGGGCTTTCACCAGCTCTCTTTGGCAGCACTCAGAAAACCAAAGAGGTTTTTAATCCGGCTGCTCTTCCTGATGCTTTGCAGCAAGTCCCTGGCTTGCTTTTACTGCCACTCAGGCGTCCTTCATTGTGCCAGCCTAAATAATTCATCTCCTTTTCTATGCTGTTTTATTTGCTCTGTGTGTGTTTCTGCAATTCATTCTTACTCCTCAACTATTCCTTAACATAGCTGCACACGTTTCACTGTCTTAAATACAGGTTTCCCTAGCTTTGGTCATGAGGGACGTTTTACAGCTGGGCTATTGAAGGCTACACTATAAAGTTAACCAGTAGTGCAGTGCCATATGTGTAAAATTAACACTAGGAGCAATGACTGTGTAAATGGCCACATACCATTACATCTGGCAGCAGAAGACCCTGTTGTCACAGCATCCATTAACTCAGATTTCAGGGGATGCTACAACCTTTAATGCCCTGATTGCCGCATGTCAAGGCATCAGAGGCCATAAGCAGCCTGTGGGATGGACTTCGTGACCTCTAACAGGCCATCGTGGTCCACTCCTACCAAATTACACATTGTTGTTGCTCTGCTGCTCTCTGTGTACTCAATTTGATTCATGAGGTGCTCTGAAAGACACTGGGGTCAGGCTGTTAACCTCATCCCAGGTGTTGCCTCTGAAATCATGGAACCATAGAATGGTTTGGGTTGGAAAGGACCTTAAGATCATCCAGTTCCAACCCCATGCCATGGGCAGGGATGCCTCACACTAGACCATGGCACCCAAAGCTCTGTCCAGCCTGGCCTTGAACTAGTATTAGCTTGATTTTAACACATGAGGCTGTTGAACAGAACAAGGCACAACACATCTCTCTGGTTCTTCATCAAATCCCTGTCCCAGGGTAGATTATTTGTAACGGGAATGATCTAAGTTATCATTTTTTATCTGAAAACGTAACCAGAAATATCCTGTGAAAACTTGTCTTTATAGATGTGTGTCTTGAGGAAGGATCCATGTCTCTGTGAAAACCATCTAAACATATTTGTAAGTTCACCGTTTCCATTACACTGCAGTTTTGGGGCTAAAAAGGGTAGACTACAGCCATACCCCTTTTTCAGAGTGTTAAGTAGGCAGTAACACATGAGCTATTTCTTAATGTTTTACTTAGGCTGGCAAATTGTGACTGATGCTTTTTTGGGGGTGATTACTTGTACTCTTGTGGTTTTTCTCCAGGCTGGGCAAAACAGACACTCAAACTGCATCTACAGAGAGTTATTTATGAGTTTATTAAAGTGCTTTCCATAGAATCACAGACTCACAGACTGCTTTGGGTTGGAAGGGACCTCAAAGCTCATCCAGTTCCAACCCCTGCCATGGGCAGGGACCCCTTCCACTAGAGCAGCTTGCTCCAAGCCCCTGTGTCCAACCTGGCCTTGAACACTGCCAGGGATGGGGCAGCCACAGCTTCTCTGGGCACCCTGTGCCAGCGCCTCAGCACCCTCACAGGGAAGAGCTTCTGCCTAAGAGCTCAGCTCAGTCTCCCCTCAGGCAGGTTAAAGCCATTCCCCTTGGCCTGTCCCTACAGGCCCTTGTCCCAAGCCCCTCTCCAGGGGTCTCCCCAAAGCAGAGTAGGGTCATGGGGAGCTTCTCCTCACCCAACACCCCAAGTCCTTCTCCTCAGGCTGCTCCATCTGGTCTCCCCCAGCCTGTGTTTGTGCTGGGATTGTCCTGACCCAGTAGCAGGACCTTGCCCTTCCCCTTGTTGAACTCCATGAGGTTCACACGGTCCCACCTCTCCAGCCTGTCCAGGTTCTTTTGGGTCCCATCCTTTCTCTTAAATGTTATGAATGCGTAAGAGGGGAAATAAGTTTAATCAGAACTGTAAGTACGTGAAAACAGGCAGATGTTGTCTTTTTGCATGCACTTTTATACCTCCCTGCTGTGTTTAAAATGGGAGTTATCCCAGGTTCAAACCAATTATTTGCTCAACTAAACTCATAGGGTAAACAGGAATGTTCTCATCCTGTTCTCATCCTGTTGAGGATGCTCCTGGGAGTAAAACCCAATTTAAAATGCACAAGCCCTGGTCAGTTGAAATGCTCGGATGCTCAGGCAGCAGCTTCTGTTCACCAAAAGGTTCACCACTGCTGGTTTCTCTGCTTGCATCGCCTGAAAATGACTTTAAATCAACCATAGAGTTTTCCCCTATAATATTAAATACATCTGTTTTAAAAGGAAAAATGTATTTAAATGCAGTTCACTCTGAAAGCACAAAATAAATCCTGTGCTCTTTGGCCAGATTTGCTTCTTCAAGTCCCAAATTAAGGTCTCTGGCTCATCTAATGTGAACGAAGTTTAAGTGGTACTTGGGGAGCAGCTACACAAAAGGCTTTACTGTAATTCTCTGCTGCCAAGAACTGTACCCCAATTCGTACAGCCTAATAGGATCAACTTTCCCCAGCTACTGTCAAGCATATTGGTCAATGCATTAAGGCCAGGTTGATGAGCAATCAGTAGACATATGCATGCTCCTTTGTGCTCTGGTTTTGGCTCTTCGGAGGTTGCCAGACTATCAGGTTCCTCTTCACGCTATGAAGCTGCAAACCTGCAAGTAATGGGATGAATCAGGCAAAGCAGATGATTAACTTGTCCTGTGTTGATCCCGCTTCGTGAACAACAGCTGGGGAATAGTTATCCTGCAGCTTTATCCACGGGCCAGATGTTTGCACCGTTAAGTGTCTGATGCTTAATCCAGCGTGGGGGCAGTTGGGAGGTCTGGAAGAAAGGGAAGCTGGTGCCTTGGGAGGCTGGAATCCAGCCTGTATGGGGCTATAGGCTGCAAAACAGCCTTAAGCAGAATAAGCTGATCAGGGCATGTGTGTGAGCAGCATTCAGAGGTGGGAGAGGAGCAGAGCCCACACAGGGAAGGAGTAAGACCGTGTCTGCCAAGCTCTGTGCTACTGCACCCACAGCAATCCCAGTGCCAGAGCCAAAGCTTGGTTGAATGTCTGATGCTGTTGCTGGCAGCATAGATGTGGTCTTCAGCTTCAAAGAGTTCATGTTACTGCCGTGTTTTGTTGGCAGCCTCCCTTTTGAGACTGCTGATAAAGAAGGCAGTTGCAAGGTATTTTCTTGTTCTGCCCCCCAGCCTGCTCACTGGTAGGGCAGTGTGAGCAGCTGGAAAGTCCTTAACTTAGTGTAAACACTGCTCGGCAACAACTAAACCATCGTAGAATCATAGGATATGTCAAGTTGGAAGGGATCCTTCAGTGTGTTATCAACGTTATCGTCATCCTAAATCCAAAATACAGCACTCGTAACAGCTACTAGGAAGGAAATTATCCAAGCTGAAACCAGGACAACTGGATTGAGATGTCTGCTTCTTATCCAGGCTGTATTGCCAGTGAGTCTTTGGATCAGAATGTGCTTACAGAATCGTAGAATCACAGAATGGTTTGGATTGGAAAGGACCTTAAGATCATCCAGTTCCAACCCCCTGCCATGGGCAGGGATGCCTCACACTAAACCATAGCACCCAAGGCTCTGACCAACCTGGCCTTGAACACCACCAGGGATGGAGCATTCACAACTTCCTTGGACAACCCATTCCAGTGCCTCAGCACCCTCACAGTAAAGAACTTCTTCCTTATATCCAGTCTAAACTTCCCCTGTTTCAGTCTGAACCCGTTCCCCCTTGTCCTGTCACTACAGTCCCTAATGAAGAGTCCCTCCCCAGCACCCTTATAGGCCCCCTAAACGTGGAGGATGTTGAGTTTGAAGTGAAAATCTTCGGACCATCCAGTGGGCTTTAGGTTGTGACTCTCGACGAGAGAACGTCCCTTCACTCTGCCAAGTGAAGCCTGTCATGTACATACGTAGAGTAACATCTCACCCTGCATCTGGCTAAGAGAGCATGAGGAAAGTATTCCCATGGTGTCGAAGAGCAGGCTTGGGCTCCCAAATCTGAAAACACAAGCTATGAAGAAAGAACGGAATCATTTGGGTTGTTTAGTCTAAAGCAGCCTGAGGGGTAGCAGAGATGGGAAGCAATGAACAAGGCCCTTGGGGTCATTGGCAGGCCTGCTCCTACAGGCTGTGTTATTTGGAGGGACATACAGGCACTGCTTTTGTTTGATGCAACTTGGATGAAAGAGTAAAATCCATTTTAAGTTGGTTTTGCGAATGTCAGCTCGTGCTTGTGGCAGTGCTTTAACAGACATATTGCAAGCCCTTAGGGGAAAAAATACACGCAGCCACTTGTACAACAGAATTAGACACGTTGAAGCCTCTGTGTGATCTGTTTTAAACAGCAGTTTGTTCTAAATTGGGTAGAAGTCTTCCAGAATGGGAAGTACACTGAGATGACAGTGCTAAAGGGAGTTTAGCACTGGAACAAATAGCTTTTTGTAGGGTATATTTGGCTGAGGTTAGTCACAGGGATGGTCTTTGCTCATGGCATAGACAGGGTGTTGTGTTGGTCTATGCCTGCATCTTTATTTACCAGTTCCGTTGGATATGTGGGACTAAAGGATACACAGGCAAAACACCCAGTGGATTTAGAGGTCTGCTTCTTTCCATTAATTACTGTGCAGTGAGATGGACACTGTGTGCTAAGGGCTAAAGTGGACTAAAGAACAGAGTGGAATGTTAGTCTTAAACTAGAAATGAAGTACAGATTCTCCTTTGACCTATTCATTAGCTGCCCTCAGTCAGGCAAGTTCTTCATAGCAAAATGTTCTTGCTGTCTAGAGGTATATTTGGTTTAGGGTGCCATTAACGCTGTTATTTGGGGTTTAGCAGCCATAAAATAATTGATATTCCAGAACAAGATGGCATTCTTCCTATCTCTGTTTTGCTGTGGCTCCAGAGCTGATAATAACGTTGTAGTGTCTATGATTATTCCATGACTAGTTAGGAAAATGCCTGCACTTAAGCTTAATTTTAAGGGAGCTGTCTGGCTCCTTTCTGTTGAATGAGCATAGTTGCTATTAGCAAGAGCCTCTGCAAGCAAACTGTAATGGGTTTCCTGCTGATAAAGTCAATAATAAAGTGGGAATGAGCTGATTGATTTGGATTCAGCAGACAAGGAAAACCAGATTTGCAGGTTCTGAGCGAGCAGGAATGAGGGCTCACCTTTTCAAGGCAACTGAATTGATCTGCAGTGGAAGGGGCTGCTTTGCTCCTTCCTCTTCCCTTGCACCAGCCCTGGTATTCATCTGGTTCCAAGATCACAGAATCACAAAATACGGGGTTGGAAGGGACCTCAGGGATCATCTGGTCCAACCTTTCTAGGTAAAGCATGACCTAGACACGATGTCCCAGCACCCTGTGCAGCCCAGTCTTAAGATGTAGCAGAAGCATATTCTGAATAGAAAATGAGGGGGTTTTCTCCTTGAACTGGCTCACTGTGCGATCAGATGAGTGCCAGAGCTGGCATAAGGGGAGAGGAAGGTTTAGTGGAGGGTGAAGGGAGGAATGTCCCTTCCAGAGGCAGTGATGCTTCACTGCACCATAAAATCACATCCTCTGCTCATCTCAGCTGACTGCAGAGGAGCTGTGTGGAACCCACATCAGCTGGGACATGGCCCAGATTAATTAGGAGATGTTTCCAAAGGTGAAACGCATTGCAAAGAGAAAGCCTGGTGGGTTTCCTGCTCAATGGAACGCTCTAAGCATGTGCTTAGAGCAGCACTGCTTGCTGGCCAACTGCACTCAAGTGTGTGTCAGGGGATTCTGCTACAACAGCTTTGTTGCTTTAGTTGTATCTTCAGATGCCACAGAAGATGTTGGGATGTGTCCAGTTTGTGTCCTGTCTCTTTTCTTGCCCTCTAAGTTCTGTGTTCATGAGGGAGATGGGATCGGGTGAGCCCAGAACACAACTCTTGCTTTGAAGTCAGTTGTTCAGCTGCAGGCATCCATGGGAGAGATTGCACTTTCAGCGTGATTGTAAAGCTTTGGAAGACTCATGATTTCTGGCATTAAACTGAACTAAACAAAGTCCTGTTTAAGTCTGTTGGGAGAAAAAACATCCTTCTGCTTGTTCTGAAGATACAACCTCCAAAAGTAATCCCCACTTCTAATTCCTATGATGAATCATTGCCATGTAGTTTACCCTTCTATATTTAGGACTCTATCTCTGCAGTTTAACCTTTCAAAGAGATAAACAACTGAATGTGTGGTGTTGGATTCTTTCTTATGTTGTTTTTTAGAATCAGTCCCCACATCGTGACTTTTCCATCATGTCAGAACCCATCACGCTCAATGTTGGAGGAAAACTCTACACCACCTCTCTGTCCACCCTGACGAGCTTCCCAGACTCCATGCTGGGGGCCATGTTTAGTGGGAAGATCCCAACCAAGAAGGACAGCCGGGGCAACTGCTTTATTGACAGAGATGGCAAAATCTTCCGCTACATCCTGAACTTCTTAAGAACTTCTCACCTGGACCTTCCCGAAGACTTCCAGGAAATGGGTTTGCTCCGAAGGGAAGTAGATTTTTATCAAATCCAGCCCCTGATTGAAGCCTTGCAAGAGAAGGAAGTGGAGCTTTCTAAAGCAGAGAAAAACGCCATGCTCAACATCAGCCTCGATCAGAAGACCCAGACCGTGCACTTCACCGTCCGAGAAGCGCCCCAGATCTACAGCCTGTCTTCCTCCAACATGGAAGTGTTCAGCGCTCATATCTTCTCCACGTCATGCCTGTTCCTGAAGCTCCTCGGTTCCAAACTTTACTATTGCTTCAATGGAAACCTCTCGTCGATATCCAGCTACTTGAAGGACCCCAACCATTTGACCTTAGATTGGGTGGCAAGTGTGGAAGGCCTTCCCGAAGAGGAATACACCAGGCAGAACTTAAAGAGACTCTGGGTGGTGCCAGATAACAAGCAAATCAATAGTTTCCAAGTGTTTGTGGAAGAAGTGCTAAAAATAGCCATGAGCGATGGTTTCTGCATAGATTCTTCTCATCCACATACTTCAGACTTCATGAATAATAAGATTATTCGCCTAATTCGGTACAAGTAGGAATGGCTGGTTTGTGATGGTGGCGGCATGGAGATAACACAGGTTAAGTGGTTCCCTTTAAAACACACAACCTAATTCAGAATCATGCTTATCTGGATTAAGAGTCACTAACAGGGAGATGATTTCCCTTTAATGTAATTACCAATGCGACCTGTCAGATGATGTCCATGTTCTACACGGAAGGAATATTGTCTAGCGCCTGAATTAAGGACTGGCTTTGCCTCCACCTCTTTGTACCTGTTGTACAATTGTGGGAAAATCACTTAACTTCTGTCTTTCCTACGTTTTCCAGTTGGAAAAGGGGAGTGATCCTTAACCTCTATTGAAGGGGATGTGAGGGTTCACCAACCAAGGTTTGGCATGTATCTGTACAACAGATGCAGTGAAAGATGCCATGGAGCTGCAGTGCAACAGAGAGCCATGGGAGCACTTTTCCATGTCATGGCCATATCACCCGTGCAGAGCATCCAGGAAGCTTGGTTGGATCCACAGAGAAGAGGCCACACGCTTCTCATGCAGCACTCAATGAAGCACTCATGCAGCACTCGGTAAAGCTGTAAAGGATGGTGCAGATTGCAAGTAAAGGGATCCTGTCTCTTTGGGTTCAACAAAGGATTTCTGTCACCATCTGAAGATGGCTTGGGGTTTGTCTGAACCCTGTGAGGAAGCCCCTGTTTAAATGACGTGCCTGGCATGGGGAATGACCAAGAAAGCCGTAGCAGAGAGAATGGCCTTCTTACAAACTGAGAACATTGTGGCTGGTGGGGAAATCTGCACTCCGGATGCTCTTAAACCTTTACTTCCACATTCCAAAGGCATCCAAGCCTGCCAGTCCTTTTCTTTCTCTTACAATGTTAACGTTTGTCTGCAGGATGCTGCTGAAACTCTGTGGTAGAGACAGATATGGGGGCAGAGCCCCACAAATATCTCCTAAGCATTCGAGCCTCTTCTTTGGGCACAGCTCCCATCCCCTGGAGTGCATGGGATGCTCTCTGGGAAAGATGGATTCCATCTGAAAGGACAGCGTTCCTATCAAGCATTCCTGTCACAAAACCAGAGGCTCTCTTTTCCTATCCCGGTACACTGAGCCATTTCTTTTACATCACCGTGAAATGGTCAGGTCACTGAGCCAGCATTTTACCTGCTTGCTTGGCTTCGGTGTCAGAGAGCTGGAGGTAAGGCAGTGAGAAACCAGAGGTTGACGACAATGGTCAAGTTCTTTCCTCCACACCTAGTCTGTGCTGTAACAAAGATCATAATCTCTTAGCTGCATGCTAGTTCTAAACATCATTGCACCACATTCAAGGTGGTTTGCCCTTAGCTAATTATGTTTAGAAGTATCTTAGCTGTCTTTCCCTAACCAGATTGCTATGTGTGCATGAGAGACCCTCTGGAACATTTCCCATTATCTCTAATGAGATAGAAGGGAAAATGGAATAACCAAGTTTTGCATTTAGAAGCTTCATTGCTTCCAAAAGTTCTTAGCCCAGGGCTGCAAAGCTCAGTGTTGCTCATGTCCTTGTTTCCCAAAGTAACTCTCCTGTCGTTACATCAAGGTGACCTGCGAACAAGCATAAAGAAGCTTTTTGTTACTGGTGTAAAAAAAAAACAGTGAGCTAAAGCTATTTTTACTGTCCCAAGCTGTATCTGCAGGAGGAACACAAAGGATGGTGATGGTAAAAATGCCCATGCTGCAGCTATTGGCAGCCTGTTACAAACCACTGCCCATGTGTGACTTGGTGCTAAACCGGCGTGATGTACGTGGGACCATGTTGTTAGGAAGCACTGCCTGGGCTTGAAGCCCTCAGAACCGTTAAACCTGACAACTTTGGAGTTTTTAAACAGGATTTTGGGGCCAAATTCCAGCCTGACTCACTATATTCTTCTAAACTTAGTTGCATTAGGAAGAACTCCATTTTCCCCATCCATCCTGAGCTATAAAGCGGGAGTAATCTGTTCCAGGGGTTGCTGCCTGCCACTGACACAGTAAAGTGTGAATCTTGTTTGTGACATGAGTCAGTTGGACATTCACAGTGATGATCTATAATAGTAATAGTATTATGATCTGTAAAGTACCATACATGAACCCTTCTTCATTAAATCTAGGCCTTACAACAGATATGCCTCTGCTGAATTTATCCCACAGAGCTTTTGGGGACTATTAACAGCATTTCTTTTTAACCTATGCCCTTGAGAATAGATCCCCCTGATCTATAACAGGAGTTCTTGTATGTCAGGACTGAAATACTACCTATCTGTAGTAGTTTATTTCCTGTCAGCTTGAGTTTATCCAAAGGTAAGAGCAGTTGGCTTATATCTCATTGGAAAGAGGGGAAAGTCTGTCCTACCCTCTTTAGAACCCTAAATCAGTAGTGTACCATTCTGCTTCAGCAAAATAAGAGAGTTGAAGCATTACTGCATTTTCTGGTCAAAGGCAAGTAAGAGGAGTCCATAAAAACACTGTGCATAGTTTAATGTAGAGCATTTACTCCTCACTTTTGCACCCACCCTCTTTTCTTCTCTTTGAATGATAGCAGCACCCACGCTAAAAGCAGTTATACAGCTCCTTTAAAGAGAGCTCCAACCTGGCCTAGACAGTAACTGGGGTAGTTCTATGACATGGACATAGAGGTTTCAATCCCCACAGGCTAAGAAGGGAACTGAACCCAGGTTTACTCCTGGAATGCTTTAACCCATCGTTCTGTTATTGCTAATACACAGAGAGATGTAAAATCTCTCTCTTCTGCATACAGAGAGATGCAAAATTCCCAGCCAGTATAAAGACAGGAGTGAAGAGAGGCTTTGGGAGGAATCCGAAAACTTGAGATACCTCTAAATTGCAAAGCAGAACAAACAACTTTAAGCATGACTATTTATAATGGCACCGTTTTTCTGCTTGATAATTGAGTACATGAAATAAGGAGCAAGTGAATCACTTGCAATTGCAGTCAAACATATGTTACACAAACGCAGTTGCTATTTCAAACTACATGCTAAGCTAAAATTGTAGCTGCTCCCTAATTTTGCAGTCTGTGAGTTACATTATAATGACTGTTTATAGGAATGTTCCCTCTCCAAGGCATTTGTTGGCTTTTCATGTACATAGCTGCCTCTTGTTTACCTTCTTTTCTGGAGCTCTAGAGGTGTAGGTGGTGAGAGCATCCAGTCCGATCATCCAGTTCCAACCCCCTGCCGTGGGCAGGGACCCCTTCCACTAGAGCAGCTTGCTCCAAGCCCCTGTGTCCAGCCTGGCCTTGAGCACTGCCAGGGATGGGGCAGCCACAGCTTCTCTGGGCACCCTGTGCCAGCGCCTCAGCACCCTCACAGGGAAGAGCTTCTGCCTTATCTCCAACCTGAACTTTCCCTGTTTCAGTTTGAACCCATCACCCCTTGTCCTATCACTGCAGTCCCTAATGAAGAGTCCCTCCCCAGCATCCCTGTAGCCCCCTTCAGACACTGGAAGCTGCTCTGAGGTCTCCACGCAGCTTCTCTTCTCCAGGCTCAACAGCCCCAACTTCCTCAGCCTGTCTCCATACAGGAGGTGCTCCAGCCCCTGATCATCCTCATGGCCTCCTCTGGACTTGCTCCAACAGCTCCATGTCCTTCTTATGTTGGGACCACCAGAACTATAGTGCAGTTCTCCACATAGCTTGCTTTTTTTTACCACTGATGATTCTTCTTCTCGCAAGTTTTCCTGAATCAAAGAGAACGTGCACAAAGCTATATCTAGTGCAGCACCACCCCATCACTAGTCATGGAAAGCATTTGTTTGGCATTTATTAGCAGAAACATAGAATCGCAGAATGGTTTGGGTTGGAAAGGACCTTAAGATCATCCAGTTCCAACCTCCTGCCATGGGCAGGGACACCTCACACTAAACCATGGCACCCAAGGCTCTATCCTTGAACACTGCCAGGGATGGAGCATTCACAACTTCCCTGGGCAACCCATTCCAGTGCCTCACCACCCTCACAGTAAAGAACTTCCTCCTTATATCCAATCTAAACTTCCATTTCACTGTTGAGTGGAATACTGCCTCTCAGAACAAACTGGATGTTTTCCTATAGGGATCTGAGAATCAGGAAAGGATCTAATGAGGTGGTTTTTTCCCTTAAAGTTTGAAGCTGTTCCGTATCTTGGTGCATAACTCGTGTTCTGATCCTGCCATATGTCCTTAACATCTCCCTCGACATCTTTATGTACAAAATGAGGCCAAGTCCTGCACTATGCATTTAAATAGCCTAGATGCTGAGAGAGCAACTGAATAGAGGGACCAGTAGTGCTAGAGCAGGGAACCACCAGTTAGGGGAGGATATAAGTTGTAGTCAAATGGCATTTTGGACATGGGCATATGCAGTGGGATTTCTTATATGATAAAAAGATTATTGTGAAGCATCCTAATGGAGTCCAGGAAGAATTCTCTCTGTGTTTTTAGGCTTGATCACTCTTAAATATCCAACGATGTCCAGTTACAATGAAGGAACTAAAACCATACGTAAATATTAAGACATCTTTGGTTTGTATCACTCTTAAGGGTTGGAGGGAGGAGCGTTCATTGCTGCAGGTGATGGTAGGGAAATAACAGAAATAGGTGTAAAAAGTCACACCTGAAAGAGTTCACATTAAGAAGAAACTCAGGATTTAGAAGGGGAGAATAAATAAGCTTGATGTGTTCAGGAATAAATAAGCTTGATGTGTTCAGGAATAAATAAGCTTGATGTGTTCAGGAATAAACCCAGCAAGATAACAACAGAGACAACGATTTTGCTACAGAAAGAGGCTGCAATTAGAATGACTCACTGGTCCTTTCCAATTTTAATCTCCTCTTATGCACCTTAAATATTGGTCATGCCAAGAGTTATGCTAATACCTTGTCAGGAGCAGACAGCGTTGCTTCGATTTGCATGTGCTTTAAAACACCGAACATATGTGCTGCTGTAGTTACCGTATTGTAACTGAGTTGCTGAGTGTAAATTGCTGCTTGAGTTCGCTGGCAGTAAATACCTGCAATCAGATTTATTCTAGGGCAGGCTGGTGGGGTCCATATATAGCGTTGACAGGAGTGATAAATACTGCCTTCAAACATAGACTGTGGAAAATAAATCATAGAATCACAGAATGGTTTGGGTTGGAAAGGACCTTAAGATCATCCAGTTCTGACCTCCTGCTATGGGCAGGGACACCTCACACTAAACCATGGCACCTAAGGCTCTGTCCAACCTGGCCTTGAACACTGCCAGGGATGGAGCATTCACAGCTTCCCTGGACAACCCATTCTAGTGCCTCACCACCCTCACAGTAAAGAATTTCTTCCTTATATCCAATCTAAACTTCCCCTGTTTCAGTTTGAACCCATCACCCCTTGTCCTATCACTACAGTCCCTAATGAAGAGTCCCTCCCCAGCATCCTTGTAGCCCCCTTCAGACACTGGAAGCGGCTCTGAGGTCTCCACGCAGCTTCTCCAGGCTGAACAGCCCCAACTTTCTCAGCCTGTCTCCATACAGGAGCTGCTCCAGCCCCTGATCATCCTCGTGGCCTCCTCTGGACTTGTTCCAGTAGTTCCATGTCCTTTTTATGTTGAGGACACCAGAACTGATACTTCACAGGCAAACAAAGAAGTTATGAAGAAGGCTTCTCTGAGGAGTTTCATTTTCACCCTATCCCTTTGAATCTGGTGTCACTGCTCAGAATTCCAGTGGTTTTGGAAGCATTTGGCTGCATTCTGTGGTGGCTCCTGCATCCACCCACTGATGGACACAAACATGCCTATTTGAAGAGTGCCAAGAGATGAGGTTTATTTCCATAGAGAGCTTGTAGAGCTCTCACATTTAAAATCCAGTTGCATTTCTCTGCCTGGAACTCATTTGTGAACTGATTACTGATGTGTATTTGAGAAGACAGTCCATAAAACGTGAATGAAGCAGGGGATGCTTTGTCTGATGTACATTTCTTGAGGGGACAAAAAGCA